TCTAAATATAGCTTCAGTTGTCAGGGCCAGTGGATAAATGGGTAGTACATTGTACCATTACGAACCTCAGTGGAAACTGTAGAGAGGGGTCAGGGCTACATTTTGATGTGAGTTATAGTGGCGATACTGAAACAAACCCAGGTCCTGGTAATATACAAAGACCTGAATTAACAAAGAAGTCAAGTTGATATTAAAGGTACATCAAGGTTTACTCAGATTTATGAATGCAGTTTTTCGAGCATGTATACATGTATGAGACTTAGTTTGGTTGCACTTGTGTACTCTGAGATTTTGGACATGGGTCAATGGAAGTTATCAGTACAAAACTAGATTAAGGGAAATCACTCAATGATGAGTTGTACCCACATAGAGTACATATTAATTAATTCAATTTTTTGCAGATGTTCCATTAGTTTAACATGAGTATTTTATAATTAAATGACAGGGACTATAACATTCATGTCTTGTTTTAAAGTGATTCACACGCCAAAAACTGTTGTTGTTGGATTTTAATATAAAATATTGGGATATTCAAAAGATGGGTTGTAAAAAAGCAAAAGTAACATTAACCGTTTCACCCCAGACTTTCTCATGCATATTTGTCTGCACACGGATATTCTTTAATATTTCTAGAATTTTAGAGCCAACAGACAAAATTTGAGTCAATTTTCATTATTTTCTCAATCCCAATCTCCTGAAGGAAAGTGCAAACTATAACAGTACTGTGAATTTGTGAATTTGTGATGAAAAGAGGGAACTAGTGGTGAAAGGATTAAGTTAAATTGTCCACATTAAACATCAAGAAGGTATGTAATATAATTACACCACTATATGACAATGTAAATTTGTCACATGTTGCTTGGGGAAGCAGGCCTGTTAACCCCCACCCACCCACCCACCCCCGTTGCCCCCCTCTTTTTCATTATTGAGCTTAACTTTGTAAAAAATATAATTCTCACAGGTAATTAAAACTTGATTATTATCACATTAAAATATGTTACATACGAGTGACATGCCATTTTCTGAAAATCAGACACTAATATTATGTGTAATACCACATAGGTAGTCCAGTATATGTCTTTCTCTGTATGTCTGAACATTACGCTTGATGGCAGCGGGTCGAGCATGGTATGCTTTTTGTTGTGGTGCTGGTGACTGGCCATTAATCATTTGGTTAATAATTACTTCATTTGAGCTTTGTTCGTGGCATAATACATCAAGAAATGTCCATAATGTTGGATGGTGGGCGTTGACATTGGTTCAAAATCTTCAATGCCAACCTTTGATTATTGGTACGAGGCATGTTCCGTTTCAATCCTGTCATTCTTATTCCACAGTCTTATAGGGAACCTTGGCTGCTGTTGATGACAGCCTGTGTAGACAGGACTAGAATTGTTGCTGCGTACATAGCTAAATATTTGTCAGTGATTCATATAAGTATTCTGAGCTCACTCACATAAAAGACAAAAAATGATAATTCATAAATAAGAAAAAATATTGTAGTAAGGTAACCATAAAGTGTTATCCTATGCCCTGTGATCGTAAGGCTACATTTCCCACATGATTTTACCTTTTCCATACAGACAGGCAACCGGAAACCCAGACATTAGCAACATACAAGTACCAGCACATTGCATAAAAAACTATTGATAGTCATCCATTCATCCTCCATCGTCCATCCATATCTATCCATCAATCTATCATTTTCCATCGTCCATCCATCAATCCATGATCATCATCGTCCATCCATCAATTGTTCATCCATTCATATATTAATTTTGATTTTTAATTTTGGCATTGACATATATTATTCTATTTATAGAATTACAAACTGGCATTTGGTAATTGCAAGCGTGTACTACAGCATCATAAATCAAATTCTCACTGGGGAGATGGTGGAGTTGCAACAATCTTGAAATCCGAAGGTGACAATGTCTGGGGTTCTGTATGGAAGATTAACATGGATCATATGGCTGCCTTAGATAGGTGAGATAATTATCATGTCTGGCCTTGTGATACTGACATTTCCCATTCAAAATTTGGTGGTGGTGGGGGTGGGGGTGGGTGGGGGGTAGATAAATTTGTTTTTTACTGATGTTTATATTCACATGAAATCAATTATGACATTTTTCATATTTTTTTCCTTTTACCCTCAATATGTTTTACCCGATTCCTCTAGCCCACCGCAAGGTCAATTTTTAGATCTGCATAAAAAATGTATTTTACACATTTTGTAAATATCACACAGGACAGATATTAAACACTCTATGAGAATAAGCTGTCACTTTGAGTACCAGTATATACAAAATTATAATGGTATTATCTAAACAGATTTATAACTGGAAATCATTTTATAGACTTTGCAAAATAGATTCTTTGGAATCATAAAGCAAAGAGAGTGTGGTTTACAATGCAAGCTAATTAAATATTCAAAATAATGCAAATCAATGTTAATGTTCCAAAAATCTCTATGAAAGTACAAAAAACATAATTTTCTTAGCTTGATAAATATTCAAATCAATGCAAATCAATGTTAATAATCTGAATATCCCAATAAAGGTAAAAAAACATGATTTTCCCAGTTTTTAATCAGTGTCAGTTTCAAGCAATCGACCTTTTCACCATCAATTCTCTCTTTTCATCACAAATTAACAAAATAGTTCTGTTTGTAGTCTGCACTTTCCTTCAAAAGATTGGAACAAAAATAGCTGAACTTTTTGAGTAAAAACTGAAAATTTACCCAAATTTTGTAAAATTAGAATTCATTTCCAGAAATATTGAAGAATATAAGAAAAAGTGCAGCAAGAAAGTCTGGTGGTGAAACAGTTAATAGTTTTGCCATCACTGCTTTATGCATTGCCTTAATTGTTTCTAATGAATTATCCCTCACAATGCATGTACAAACTCAGTACACTTGTCAGGAGTAACTGCAACATACACAACTAAAGGCAAAGTACAATTGATGAGCAAAAACATACCAGTCTTCCCGGTAATGTTTTTTGAACAAAATGATATAAAAATGTACTTAATAGATTATTGACCTCTGGATGACCTCATTTGCATATTTTAACAGAATTATAGGAGAATAAAAAATTTCTCTCATGAAATATTATTGGCACCAATAACAAATAAATTCATTCTGCAGTTTTTTAGTCTTAGCTAAATGGAGTCCAAAATGGGGGGCCTGTGTGTTGGGTTTTCTGTGTGTGTATGCACACACTTCTGTTCATCATCATCTATCAGAAAAATGGTACAATGGTAAATCATAATGGGATATGCAAGTCGATTTGTTTCTTATTTGATTGATCTTTGGCCGACTGGGAGTCATTTTTGCTACACCTCTTATTGTAGTATTTTGTCATTTCAGCCAGGAGGGTGTATCAGAACGTTACTACGACCCATTAGAAGTGGTTGTTCATACACTGGATAATGATGAACTTGTTTGCCGCACATATCAACAAACAGAATGTGAACTGTGTGATCCGACACCTCAGTATCTCTCTGTAGTACAAGATGGCGCTAAACAAAGTGGACTTCCTAATACCTATCTATCGTTTCTAATGTCAATCAAACACAATAACTATCAAGGAGAATCCAGTATTTATCAGCAAGTTCAAGAGAAGAAATTGGATGGGTTAAAAGAGTAGAGTTATTCCATAGACAATCTACACATACACTCAAAATCTTCTGAATGTAATTTTAAATGATATTTCTGTTATTTCATTATTGTAGAATGCTACACAACAGTAAAAATATTTCCATTTTTTTTATTGTTACATATTTGATACATTATGTTAAAAGGATGAAGAAAATGTATTATAAAACTATTGGGTCACTGTACTCAGTTCAAAGCAAATGCGTTGAAAATACCAGTAGCATGTGAAAATAGCAGTATTTTTCCATGGCTTTCTACATCGAAGGAATATCTTAGAATCATGTTGCTCAATAACATATAATAATAAAAGAGATGTAAGTTTTTAGAAGATATATTTTGTTGTCTGGATGTATTAGAAAATTTGACAATATTTTATTATGTTTATATTGTAGAGATAACCAATATATAATACCTATAGCGCCCTCTAGTGGCCATATATCCAGATACTTTTGCTCTGTATGCGTGTTCGGGTTACAGTGGAGTAAACATCATGTCTGTAAGTTTAATCTGACCTAATAGTCTGTTGTCTTATTAGCAAATATTACATAGTCGCAGTGGTGTTTTGACTCACAAAAATGGCAGATCAAATCCAAACACCACAACAGGCAACAGGCAGCTCAACTTCAATTCCTGAGATATTTGATGGATCAACCGGACCAAAACAAGCAGAACTGTGGTCAAAATGGCTGAAACATTTTGAACGCTACTGAATGGCTTCAGGTCTCCAAAACAAGACAGAACGTGAACAGGTCAGTATACTACTGTATGCCATAGGAGATTGTGCAGATGATATCCTCACAACACTGCGAATTGACGAGGAAACCTCCACATATGAGGATGTGAAAAAAGCCCTGAATGACTATTACCAAGCTCGTTGTAATATAATAGTGGAGCGAGCACTATTCAATAAACTGGTTCAAACACATAGGGAACCCATTGATGTCTTCATACAACATTTATATGCTTAGCTGAAGACTGATTATGGTGTGCTGAAAGATGACCTTATAAGCGACAGAATCGTTGTAGGAGTTTTAGATGACTCACTGTCAGACCACCTGCAAATGAAATCAACCCTTACACTTGCAATCACTGTACAAACATGTCGTCAGGCCGAAGCTAGAAAAAGTCGTGAACTAGTTTGTGGGGACACTAGTATAAAGCCAAGTAATGTTGATTTTGTAAAACACTCAACTGCATCCCGTAGAAGTAGCCAAAGTAAAGTGACAAACATGGTTACAGCTGCACTAGCACACAAACACAAGATAGCTGTCGATGGCATGGTGGTCAACGTCACGATCGTCGTATATGTCTTGCCAGAGACTCAACATGTCATAATGTCAGAAATCCGGACACTTTAAAAAAGTTTGTCATTGTACAAGACAAGAAAGCAGTAAAATAAATGAGGTACACAATCTTGAAGAGATACAGATTCTATTTCTCGGAGAAGTATATGGAAGTAATGACTACTGGAGTGCAGAAAGGTAAATGGACATGACACACATTTCAAATTAGATACTGGTGCTAGTCATTAGCGACAAATCACCATGGCTGAATGAGGCAAAACTGAGTTCAACTCGTCAATCGCTTCACGGACCAGTAGGTACCCAGCTTCCAGAAATCGGTATATTCCAAGCTACTAGGTCTTAGACGTGTGTGTTTTCGCCGGCAAACTGAGTCAGGGGGTATGTCCCCACCTCAGTGACGCAGACTTGACATCTTTCACCCTCTTTGTTGGGGAGATGGCGGGTGCAGTCTCGGAGCTTCGGAGTGCAATGAACCAGATGGTTCAGATCGAATCTGCTTGCCAATTGGCCCTGCCAAGGGTAAACGGAGGGCGCCCCAAGCACAGAAAACATAACGCCCTAAGGCGGCACCCGCTAGCCAGAGTCAGACAGGATGCAAGCGCTCATACCCTTCCACGGGAGGGAAGAGTAGTGGCGCGCCCCCAGGGAGGAAGGCTGGCGGTGGGTGAGTGGTGGCTCCTCACCCTCCTCTGTCCGTCGTTCACCCTGGCAGCGAGGGAAGCATGTTTGACGCTCACCTCTGCGACCGGGGGACAGGCATGTGTTCGGCGAGTAGCCAGACTGAATCAGTATGTGCTCCTCGATCGGTTCCCCATGGAGACACCATTCAGCGCTCTTCTCTCCATCCACCGCTTCGACTGGCTAGCCCCACTAGATTTAAGCGGGGCTTACCAAAACATATCGATGCACCTGGGGAGTTGCCATCTCCTTCGAATCGCCCAGCTGGACCAAGTATTCAAATCTTGGGTGCTCCCCTTCGGGTTATGCACAGCGCCTTACGTGTTTGCCACAGTGATGAAACAGGTAGTGCTGCTGCTTCACCAAATGTCGGTACACATCAATCCATACCTAGACGACTGGTTACTATACAACCCAGACAAGGGCTTATTAGCCAAACAAGTAAGGCTAACACAGGATTTACTTCACCAGTTGGGCTCTTTAGTAAATCAGACAAGTCCCATCCCTACCCAACGCAACAGTTGGTGTTCCTGGGCATGGAGTGTAACACAGAGGTAAGCTTGGTATAGCTATTTCAAGCGTGTTGCTTAGCGCTAAGCAGCCTAGCCGAACGCCTAGTCAGCGTTCCGTCAGTGTCCCTCCGAGAACTAATGCGGATCATCAGAAAGATGCGTTAGTTTCAGAACCACCATATCAACCGGCTTGAACTGAAAGCAGTGCACTTAGCACTACCACACTTTCTACCCATAGTTCGAGACCACAGAGTCCTTCTCCGTACAGACAACACAGCGGTGGTCTCCCTCAAGTAGGAGGGGGGAACGTGTTCCCCATCGTTGTCAGTCCTGGTGGAGCAAATTCTACTTTGGTTCCTGGAACACAATGTGGAGCTAACCGCACACCACCTTCCAGGGGTGAGGAATAGTCTGGCAGATGCCCTTTCAGGGCGACTCCGTCTCCAGAACACGGAGTGGCTGATACCCCAGTGGGTAGCCTCCAGGCTGTTTCGGCTGTGGGACGGTCCAAAGATAGACCTGTTTGCCTCACCCTAGAACACCAAGCTCCTGACATACATAAGACTTCTGCCAACTCCAGGAGCCTGGGCCAGGGTCGCTTTGCTGACCCCGTGTACCCACATAGTTGTATACGCCTTTCCGGCCTTCCCACTAGTTCACCGTGCACCAGAGAAAACTTCAACAGGTGCACACCTGCATATTGTCATTGGTCGCACCCAATTGGCCAACCAAGGCCTAGTTTCTACTTCTGTTGGAAATGCTAGTCGAAACACCAGTAGTGCTTCCGGACTTACCAGACCGGCTGTCCCAACCGAACGGCGCACTACCAACGAGCCCAGCGGGTATCACTTACACGCATAGAGGCTCTCAGTAGACCCACACATACAAAAGGTTCATCTGAGCGTGTCACACACAACGTAATATTACCGTAATTGGTATAGTACAGGTGTGATGGTTCAAATACCAAAATGGCAACAGTAACAGAAAGACTTCCCTGGCGGCGATGATAAAACGCGAACACGGAGCCAACAGATGAGGTTTCAACTGGTACTGGTATTATTATACCCTGCAAACATCAAGTACAATAACGCGGTAAAACTCCACTACTCCAATAACTAGATACTTAAACTCCAATACAATTCAACGAGATCTCCGATCTGAACTCAGTGCTGAACAACTCCCCCTATATATACCCACACTGTCTATAAATAGACCATTACATCAGCATACATAATGAGTCTGGAACTTACTATAAATTTCTAGAATGTTCCATTACCTTCTATTGCCTCCTACAGTGTTCTATTACCTATTCAACCAGTTTCTAAACAAAATCTAGAAATATTCCACCCAGACACAGTACGGTTCTAGAACATTCTCAGTGACACGGGAGTGGTAAATAAGTCGTATGCAACAGGTAGCAGACTCCTTCGTCCACTTATTTGACGAAGTGGGTTTGTCATACGCAGTGATCGTTGGCTACAGATCGGCCTTGTCCCCTACCATTGAAAACGCTTTGGGAACAAGACTAGCCGATTGTCCTATTATTTGGAGACTGCTGCTTTCCATATCAGAGGCCGAGACCCCGTACAAGGGAACTGCCCAACTGGGATTTGTCGGTTGTGTTGTCCACTCTAAGCAGGCCGCCCTTTCAGCCTCTCCGATCAGCACCACTCAAAATTTTGATGTGGAAAATAGTCTTTCTACTGGCCCTCGCCTCAGGTAGGCGTCGGCCATAGCTGGGGGCATTGTCCTTCTTGGACGATGTACCAACGTTATGGACAAACAAGTTGTGCTAAAGACACAAATCAGGTTTCTCGCCAAGAACCAAATCCCAAGACACCATCCTCACCCGATCGTCATCCCCTGCTGTCAAATATTGCCAGCCCAGAGGGTCAGGAGAAATTGCTTCTCTGCCCGATTCGAGCACGGAGTTGCTACCAAAACCGTACTAAGAATTCAGGACGGGGTGTCAAGTACATGTCTTCGTGTTATGGCCCAGGCAGGCGGATAGGTCAGCCTCCCTTACTTCCATCACCAGGTGGGTTACTGCGACTGTATTCAAGGTCTATAATACTTTAACTTCCTCAACACAGAGCTTGCAGAGACACCAAGTACGAGTGCATGAGGTCCATGCGATTGCTAACTCACTAGTGCTAGCGTCAGACGCCCCCCCCTCAAGCACATACTGAGGGCAGGCTTCTGGAGAACGCAGAACGTTTTTATCAACTACTACCAATCCATTGAGTGGGTCTCTTTAGATTGGGTCCCATTGTAGCAGGTCAGACTTTGATTGCTGACCCAGCCCGAACGACCACAAGGGTCCCTGCGCATAGGCGATAAGTCAGTCTCAGCATTTTTGCAGACAGATTTCTCTACCATCAGCACTCCCTGGAAGCTTCCAGGTCCCGCTTTTCGACCTATGCCCTCATGCAGAACTGTATCAATCTTCACGTCGAAAGCATACTACCCCTTGAATTGGGTTTGGGTCCAGCTTTCCCGGGTACATTCTACCCTATCGCCGTAGAAGCATTTTTGGCTTCTTGCTCCGGGGACAGCACAGGCAAGGCACCACCCCCTTTGGGTCTTAACTTCGGTG